CAGCCACAAGATCATCTCTCAGCCTTCTCTTGCAGAGGCTGAAGAGATTTAGGTCCCTCAGTTGGTCCTCTTAGGGTTTTTCCTGTAGACCTTTAACCAGATGTGTGGCCCTCCTCTGAACCCTTTGCAGGTTATCTACATCCCTCTTGAAGTGCAGCACCCAAAACTGGATGCAGTACTCCAGCTGTGACCTGACCAATGCTGCATAGAGGGGACACAGTACTCCAGCATGTGGTCTGACCTCCTTAGACTTGTTTGTGATGCACCTACTTATGCAAGAAAGAGTGCAGTTAGCTTTACTTATTACGTCATCACACTGGCGACTTGTATTTATTTTGGAGTCTACCACAATACTTTTCAGCAATTGTGCTACTTAGAATGGTACCTCCCAGGCTATAGGTGTGTTTGTGATTCTTCCTCCCTAATTGCAACACATGGCACTTATCTTTGTTAAACTGCATCTTATTCTGTTCCGCCCACGTTGTCAGCCTGTCCAAATCTGCCTGGATTCACTCCCTGCCCTCTAGTTTGTGTACCTCACCCCATAGTTTGGCATTGTCTGCAAACTTGGACAGAGTGCTTTCTACTCCCTCATCCAAGTCACTAATGAAGATAGTGAACAGTATTGGTCCCAGGACAGAGCCTTGGGGGCCTCTACTGCCCACGTTTCTCCAGGTAGAAACTGACCCATCTACCACTACTCTCTGGGTATGTCGCATAAGCCAATTTCCGCCCACTGGACTTTAATAATCTACACTGCAACTGTTTAGCTTATTTATAAGAATTGGGTATGATACTGTGTCACAGGCCTTTTTAAAATCTAAGTAAATAACATCTACCTCTATTCTTTCATCCAAGCATTTTGTGACCTGGCCGTAAAAAGAAACCAGGTTAGTCAGGCAGGATCTGCCTGCTGTGAATCCATGCTGGTTGCCCCTTAGCATTATTTTACTTGCTGGTCCCCCGCAAATGTGATCCTTAATAATTTTCTCAAAAGTCTTGCCAAGGATAGAGGTGAGGCTAACCGGCCTATAGTTACCTGGTTCCTCATTCCTCCCCTTCTTGAATATAGGGACTACATCGGCCCTTTTCCAGTCCTCTGGGACCTGTCCTGAGTGCCATGAGTGCTCAAACAGTTGTGCCAGTGGTTCCGCTATGATGCCAGCTAATACCCTAAGTACCCTAGGATGAAGATCATCAGGGCCTGTTGACTTAAATACATCCAACCGCTCCAAGTACCCCTTTACTAGGTCAGTGCTAACAGTTGGTGGGTTGGTATCTATCTTGTGCTCACCTGAAGTCCCACTGGGATGCATGTTTGTATCCGTGTCCAGGAACACAGATGTAAAGAAATCATTTGAGAGCACCGCTTGGCCACCTTATCTGTTACCAGCTGTTATGATTGCAGCTGTATTCCAAAAGTCTTTTCAACTCTTACATGTCCTATTAAAAGTAAATCAGTGCAGCTTAACCTAACTTTATAGCCCTATTGTCTGGATACAGCTGCCTAAAATATCTGTAGTTCATACTTGGTGCTAAATTAGCCCAACCATCACTTAAAGATTTACATGTCAGTAAAGCACAATGGGTAGTGCCAAGAGAAGCTTTGGTAGCACAGGAACTTTGTAGAGTTTAGCGGCGCTACAAGACACTGGGGAAGAGGGCTACCATCTTGCCCATTGCCACATTACACTTTTGTGGTTGTAGCGGTGAACTGGTATGGATCTCATCCATAAGTATGTCAAAACTTAGTGTGCTTTAGAAGCAAGTTGAGTCTCTTAACTGGCTGAATTCTTAAGAACCCAGAATCTGATATTCTTACTCATATTTAATCTTATTTTACTCTGCAAAAGTCCTTTTAAATCAATGCGACTACTTAAAAAGTAAGGTACTGTTTAATGCGAGTAAAGTTATTAGGATCCAGATGAATTCTACAAACACAAAAATGTACAGAGCTGTCAGAAAAAAGACTCACTGTGGCAGTTATAGGTAGGTAGATTTAGTACTACCTTGTTGTATACTTCATTGGAACTAATTCTGGGAGTAAGAAGAGAAGATTTAGCCCCACATTTGGATTTCTTCAAACTTTCATTAATGACACCAGACCAATTTGCATTACCCCTCTCATTCTAAAATAAATATAGAGCAGTATTTCTACTTGCATAATACAATAGTTCTGTTATGGTGTTTCTGTTGATGGGAGTATCATAAGGAGGCTTTTATTAATCCTTTGACATCACCCGAGGGCTCTGAGAATTCGGACTCAGTTTGCCAGTAGGAAGGTATACAATGGAGTCCATAGTGTGGAATTTGTAGTAATCTCTGTAGTGAGTGAAACAATATTTCTTTTCTTTTCGATTTCCACAGTTCCTATTTTAATCTTACACTTCACTTTCCTCTTGGCAGGTGTGATTATTGTCCCAAGTGCTGGTGTTGGTATTGTCCTAGGTGGCTACATTATCAAAAAACTCAAACTTGGTGCAAGAGAGTCTGCAAAGTTGGCTATGATCTGCAGTGGTGTGTCTTTGCTGTGCTTTTCAACGCTCTTCATTGTTGGATGTGAAAGCATTAATCTAGGGGGCATAAATATACCTTACACAACTGGGTAAGTGTTTTTGCATTGATGAAAAAGCCAGCATTCCTTAAAAACCTTGGAGGTATTTAGAAATTTTTGGAGGTCCTCAAGAGTCCATTCATAAAGCAGGAATTCACTGAGTTTGTCAGATAAACTTATGCTTTTCTGATGTGGCCAAAATGCCTTTTTTTTTTTTTAGCTGATTTACAGTGGAAAGCCTATATCATAACTCATTGTTGGATGGGTGGGGGTCACCAAGCCACCTCAGACCTTTATTTCCTTGTTGGGGCTTCAGCCTTCCCGGTTTCTATCCCTCTACTCTGGCTGGTCCCTTAGCCAAAGCCCACTGTTCTAGATCTGGCTTTTGGGCCTCAGCCCCAAGCTCTGCCCTTGTCTGGGCTCTGGGGCCCTGCAGCCCCTATGCTTTGGCCTTCCTTGGGCTCTGGGCACTTGATGTATGGCATGAGCCTGCCCCTAGCAGGGCTGAAGGCAATTGTGTGTCCCTAATGGGACCTCGAAAAACCACCCCTTACAGTCCCATCAAAATCACAGCACAATGCAAAAAGCCCTCTGGCTACAATGACGAATGATCCCCCATGCCGGGTCTCAACATTAACAGTCACTTCCAGTCTGAACTACCGGGCTGTCTCCCATACTGAGCCCCACTTCCCTATAGGCTGTAGGCATCTAGTTTGCAGGTCTCAGGGCCTGTCTCTTTTAGCGTCCCTGTAACAGAGCTCTTTCCCCTGAAGCTTGCACACTGGCTACCCTGGCTCGGGCCCTAGCTTATATTTCATTCAGGCCCTGTCCCCTTCTTGTCATGTGACTCCCCAGTCAGCTGACTTGACTACACCGCTATTCTTTAACCGCCACTCTGCTGGTTGCCTGTGCTACAAAGACCCTGTCCTTAAAGGGGCCTCACCACTTCTCAGTAACAGGGCAAGGGTTCCCTGTTACAGGTTATAATAGACTTCTCAGTCCACTGGAGCAGTTTAAGGATTAATGGCTGAGACCATAAATAATTTGGTCATATAAGTCTAAATGTATAAATAGAACCATAGAACAGAGGAAATAAACTTAAGTTGAATGAACAGATTTTGGTTGTTTGAGACTGCAACTGTGAAATATGTTGCAACTCACTGAGCAGTGAGAATAGCATTTCAGGGCTGAATCCTGCAAAGTATTGGGAAAACGTAATTCCTAGTGAATCCAGTGGAAACTAAAGGACCCAGCACTTTGCTGGAATACTCATCACTCCTGTCCCCCGCCCCTCCAGCCTATAATACTTCCCAGGTTGAGATTCATGAATTCCTTTAAAAGATTAAGTTTTGCTACACGCTACTGAGGAAGAGAGTAGTAGGAAGCACATGAACTGCAGGACTTGCTATCCTTAGAGAACCACTGACATACTTAGAAGACATTTCTCTTTTTTGCTATAAAAGACCATGAGGGGTAGGTAGTGTTCTCAAGAAGAAACGGAGTTTTCCATGAACAGACTTCACTCTTCTACTCAAAAAGGGAGATGCGAGATGGTACCATCCCACCCCTATGTGGGATCTCACAGGCAACATTATGTTAAGAACTTGGTATCAGGTGGGAGTTAGCTGTACCATGAGGTGATTCAGCTTGAACACAGGCCCTCATTGCTCAGCCTTCTGTACAAAAAGCCATCATGTTTCACAAATCTTAGATTGTCTTAGTGGAAGATAATCAAAAGGAGCAGCAAAGGACCTACTACCTGATGCCTTTTCTTGTCTGTACAGTATTCCAGGACAGGAGAGAGCTAAGGTAGATTCCCAACGGTGCTAACCAGCAATGAGAGATCCTTTAGTCTAATTACATCTTATATTTTCCTGATGTTTATCAAAGGAAATAAAACAGATTGATTTTGGTTATTTCTATTTTTTTGATCCAATTAGAGTTACTGCAGGTTAATTGAAAGCTGTAGCTGGCTTAATAGATTTTGGGGCAGTCGAGACAAAAAATCACATCCTTCCATCCCAAGCTTCAAGTTTTGTTCTGTTGGTCTTATGTTAACCCAACCAGCTCTCTTAATTTAAATGCAATGACTAAGTAGATCAAAATAACTACAAAAATAAATCAGGCTGGTGCAGTGAGAAGGTTCCTTGTTTGCCAGCTACATAAAAATCACGTCATTCTTAGCTTCTGCCTCTAATTCCAGCTGCAACTGACTGCAAAATGACAGTCTTTTGAACTCTGTTACACTGTGTATTGTAAACCTTAAAGATGCAGTACTTAAGCACAATATTCTCCCTCTTTTCCCTTGTTTTTGGCCATTTCAAAAGAGCCTTTGGCAGCCTGACTATGGGAAAATCATAGCATGCAGGGAAGCAGCATTAATATGACATTCCTCTGTTCAGGCACTCTACTTCCAAGCCCAACATTTAATTTGAAAACTCTCTTATTTTGGCAGCTTTTTAAATATGGAGTACAGTCTTTTCATTATTTTAAGGTGAAGACTAGGTGGACCAAAATAGAGACATAAAAGCTATCGCC